TTCTTGTCTTCTGCATAATCTCAATCAAGACATTTTTTTAGCAAACAGTGAACAACCGTGTTTTATTGTACAAACAACTTCTCAGGGCTGAGCTTAAATGGAAATGGCATGGATATTTATTCTTGACTTTGGGAACACAAAATGATCAAATATTCTGAATTTTAGCTTCACGTAAAAACAAAAATGAAGAATTAAGAATTAAGTGAGAAAAAACAGGGAATGACATGCAACAGAGGTCCCAAACTGTTTCATAGTCAGCATCTTAGCCACAGGGACATCCCACTTACAGTTGAAGGCACCAGAAAAAAGGCCAGCAAGTGGACTTTCAGTTTAGAATGGTTTTCTGTTGTTTGCTATTGCGTCTTAAGAAAATAAATGTATAGAAGTTCAGCACCCATTCGTTATGTTCTGCCCATGATGATCATGTTCTTTTGGGGGAGTCGGTGGCCTGATTACTTCAGTTTGTTGTCTATCTTTAAAGGAGCAATATGTAAGAATTGGCCACCTATTGAATTCATGCTCCAAACCAATAGGGGGCAGCATATCACCAGTGTAAACGCTAACTGTAGCTGCTGTTTAGCTCAGTTAGCCGTGCAGCTAGTGGTCCAAATCTTTGCTGACTCTACCTAGACTGGGATCTCAGAGCACCAGGTGTATGTTAGCATTTACACTGCTAGCACAGGAGCTTTGGACCCCTGGGAGGAGGACGTTCGTTGGTGGGGAGTGGTGCCAGAATAGGCACCAGATTGGGATCAGGGCGAGCAGGTGAGCCCTGGCATGCCCGGGAAGAACAAAGCCTCCAAGACCGACAGAGGCCAGTTTGGAAATACAGTACCAAGGCGATTAACAGCTACTCTGACTCTGGGCCGATGAAGACACTACGGGTTCAGAGAGAGAGACGTGAGGAGAGGAGCGAGAGGGAGGTCGTGTATCAGTCAGCGTTTTGGGTTTGGAACGAGATCTTGTGATATTAAACGTGACAATATTTCTTGACTAGGTGAAACGTGTCTCACGATGTCAGCATGAAAGATGTTAGCGCATTGTGGCGATCGGGCACACACCTGCGTCACACGTGAATCTTATTCCTTCAATTAGCACATACATTTCAAAGGCTTCTGGAGGCAGACAAAAAATATACTTCCCCGCACCAGTGGCAGGCAGTGAATAAAGTTAATTTCAGACCCTGTAAGCAACATTTCAAAATGCATCTGCATTGTTTTGCATTTTGTGACTTTTAGTCTAAAAGACAAATTTTCTAGTCACAGATTTTGTCACTGAAAATTTCTTTAAAATAGTGTTAAAATACTATCTCGTCTCATTCTCATGAACCCAATATGGTGTCTTGTCTCATGAGCTAAATGTATTGTCACACCCCTAGTCAGCGGCCATCTCTAGAGGCCTGAGAGGGGTTTACGGCGGCGTCAACTACAGGTGCCCGGAGCCAAACCCGGCAAGAAAACTACCTTGGTGTTGTTGAACTGGGGGAAGACTGGACGCTACACTAACACACTATTGCATCTTGAGATACAAAGTGGTATTACAAGACAGGACAGGCTGAAGTTAGCTAGTTTGCATGCTAACTTAAGAAGATATCTCTGCAACACAATAAATAGACATCTTTGACAAATGTCTGTTGAAATCTTAGTTCATTTGAATGTTTTAAACTAAAATTCTTACATATAGCTCCTTTAAGCCTGCATAGGTTGTCTGACACATCATTTCATAACCATGCTTCTAATGGTAATGTGTTTTTCTATGGAAGTAATTTGTTCATCGTCTCAACACCAGCTTCTGCTCATGCCATTTGTCAAATCTGTGCAAGCTTTTCTCTGGTGGTAGTGGAGTGGTTATATTTATTTACATGCACGCATCTGCATCCATTTAGGTTTTATATTATACCTGTTTCTCCCTTTTCTCCCTTTTCACCCTTCCTGCCATCTCTGCCATCTCTTCCTGGGATACCCACATTCCCATCTGCTCCCGGGGGCCCGCTGGGACCAGGTTTGCCAGGCTCTCCCGGTGACCCCGGGACACTGCAGATCAGACGTGGTGCTCCTTTCAGTTTGGTCTCAAGCAGCTGTCCAAAGATGCAGTGGCATAGGCAGACTACTCCCATCAACGCCCACATCTTCAAATCTATAAAAGCAAATAACAGTTACCAGAGAACTTCACTAACATCTTGCTTTTAGGACAGCTCGGATGTATTTAGTAGAATTTATAATAAGTAAAATAGTTTTGTGTTTGCAGATATTCAGAGCAAATTCTCAGTTTTCACAAAGCTATAAAACACTTACTGTGGTGTTGTCATGGGTGCAGGCAGACCAAAAGCATATCAGTGAATCTAATTCAAGTACAGCATGAGGCCATATGTGACTTTTGTAATGAGAAGCAATTGCTATTTGACTCTATCTCACACGCTGATGTTCTCATCCACCATGGAATTGCATGTGAGAGACCTCAAACGAAACCTTTGTCTCAGTTCCAAGTCTTCTTTTTTTCCCAAAACATTCCCAAGTTATGACATAACATCCAGCACAATTTCTGTCAGGGGAACCTAATCATGAAGCAATGGCACTTGAGCAGACAGAAACATTATTTTTATTTACATTGCACAAATAGAAAGACAGAGACACAGCCTCATCATGCAGAACTGTATTTCACTAACAGAAGAAAATCTTCAGCGGGTTTGACCAGTAGAATGTGTGGATTTTATTAATACACATGCTTGTTCTTTGCCCATGTGGGTGTGAGAAAGTGAGTTTTGCATCTGCTCTTCTGCTGGCTCTCTGGTCAGTGGGGGCGTCGGAACATTTGTGTCACCATTACAGAGGAGGCTCTTCTCCTTGTCTGTCTTCCAAAATAAGTGTGTCTTTTTTATTGCAACATGTTTCCCTTGGAATTACACTTGTCTGTCAGTGCAAGATGCAAATGAGTCAGACAAATGATGTGTGTACTATGGGACAATATACACAATGAGATAAACAGGAAGGACGGGCAGACACTTACACACAACGTGAACAAGCTGAGCCTGCTCTGCGAAACACACAAGGCCCCTTCATGTTATTAGTGGTGCATGTTTTTGATTTTGAGGGTAATGAACTGGTCAGGGAGCCAATGTGAGGTCCTATGAGAGAGAAACCCCGCCCGCCAATTCCGCTCTGCAGCAATGATGTCAGCATTAGTAAAACGACTATTATTAAAGAAATGGGGCCTTTCTTACACATACACGTGCATGCATGTGTGCATGATGTGCATACATGCAATTCATTACATTATAAGCTGCACCTGTAAAAAAGGAAATGAGTCACCATTCATTTAAAAATAAAACAAGTGGGTGTTAGTAATTGATCTCAGACATAAAGTACATTAATGACTCCTCAGGTGGCAGATGGTTTATAATTCCAAGTCGTCATGTTAAAAAAAGCTGAAAAAGAGCAAGACATTTTTAGACATCTAACTTCTTTCAGGGGGAGATTTTAGCATAAATATTTGGACAAATGTAACATAACACACAGTTAGAGGCCATGCATGGGTGCTCCTGTACACAAACACTGACACACACAGACAGGTATTTGCAAAGTTATTCAAGGTATTTTCTCAGCAAGGTCTATTGAAACGCTTAAAGACAACAGTATTTCTATCATTTGTGTTCATATTCTGAAAGATGAAAGATGTTCTGTGATATTTAACAAAGAGCGCAGACTGAGTTATATGAGTTTGTGTTCTTACCCCCCCAGTTGGCAGCTGTTCAACCCGAAAGCAGACCACAGTTCTCGGTGTTGAGTGTCTTCGTCTTATCTGCTCAGATTCCGGTCTCTGTGATGATTTGAACCCTTGGTTAACATGATATTCGTTTTTCTTCTGCTGCGCTCTCAGACATCTGCGTGCAGAGCTCAGCTGCTTCGTTGCTGACAGCGTCTTGTAGTGCAGCAGCAGCCCGCACTCACTTCCCCCCTCCCCTTATCCCCTCCCTTCTCTCTGCCTCATAAACTTCCCAAGGCAAACAACTATTATCCAGGCAAGCGCAGTCTGTGCACACAGGATCAGCTCCATTATGTCATGGATGAAGACTCTTTAAAAAGAGACTCCAAGTGTAGAAGTCAGCCGCTTGGATGCTGTCAAATAAGGCTGTTGTTCTATAAAAAATCTGATTAATAAATGGTCATGGTCATTTGTGCCTTATTAATCTGTGTTGATCTCACTTGTATTTATGACATTCACCCCTAGATGGGGCCAGATGTTATGTGTGGAGGTATGTTGGGGATTATTTACATGCCTCATGGTTTAGGTTGAGGCCACCTTTATAGACACCATCTGAAAAATTACCTTCACACTTTTCATAACAAGAGGTATTTTGTATAGTGGTTGAAAATATATAGGTACAAAAATAAAAAAAATACCGATTCTGCAGCCAATGCCCATTCTCTGACATTACTACATTGTTAATACCTAATACTAATGTCTGTAGTGTTTTGTTAATAATACATAATTTGACCACTTTGGACCTCAGACAGTTATTTCACAGAAACCATCTGAAAAGTTCAGAAGGGAAATGTCTGTTTGGTGGAACTGCTAACAACTCAGACATCTGAAACACTACAAGGGACACTAGGGTTCACAAGTCAGGTAAGGAGCGGCTGGTGTTATTGAGATTAGCATCCATTTTTATATGTAAAATATTAATCTGCAAAGTTACTGGTAACTACAGATGTCATATAATGTAGTAAAACTTAGTATACAGTAGCAGAAAAGGACTTCAAAACTGTACTTAAGTACAATACTTGAGTAAATGAATTAGTTAAATTCCACCACTAATTTAGTAAATGTTAAAAGATCTAAAAGGATCTTCCTATTGGTTATGGGAAAGCTTAATTAAAAATATTAATTAGTGATGATACTGACACGAAACAATGGATTATTATATCATGATGACTGCAATCATGATGTTTGTGTTTTGTTAGTTTTGTGTTTTATTTAAAACACATGCAGCAGCAGCCATGTTGTGTCCAAACAGAATGGGTCTTTATTCAGGAAGTGAAAGGGAAAAAAACAGATTGTAATCAACACCCCATTTAAATACAAAACCAACAAAAATAAAAATAAACATGATATTAATTTTTGCATATCAAAGAACCATTCAGTAATAATTACAATCCAAACCGCTCATAAACCACTTTTGTGAATCTATACACAAACTCTTGATTTAGAAATTAGTCACTTTAACAGTAAAATTACAAATATTTAGCTTTAAAAATAATTAAACTCAAAAGAATATATTAGCAATTAGCATTTTCAATTTATTTATAGTGTATTTCCACATAAAAATACAAAATAATACCAGTGACCTTTAAATATGAAAAATTATTCCAAGAATTCTGCTACTATTAAACGAAATAAAACGTGGGATAAAACAAGATGAAATGAAATAGAAATATGCATGAAAAAGTCTCTCCGTTTGTTAGCAAAACACTATCCAAAATAACTACAATCATTTACATCAGTACAAAGATATCTGGATTTAAAAATAGTTGCAATGAAAAAACGGGGTTTATTTTTCTGACAGTAAAAAATGACACTGTGGATCAGAAATTTGCAAAATATGCAATGAAAAAAATAAATCTGCATTAAAAAGGTTTACACTGTAGTTCTTACTTTATACAAACATTAGAAACAGTATTGCACATCACAACACAGATTCGAGGTTAGTCAGCCTTTCAAAATGTGTTATATTCAAGTTTCAGAGCATCTACGAGGACAGGCAGCTGTGGCCTCGATGCAACAGGGGAGAATCTCAAGTGTCATCCAAGAATAAAATAAAACCTTCAGGTTTCCTTCCTTCAAATGAATTGTGTATTAATGTGTATTAAAATAAGAATCAACTGTATATCAAAAACTTTGATGTTGTTACTAATGACATGATTCTTTGTCTTGAACAGAACGTTTGGACATAATTAGCATTTGGGGGGAAATTAATTGTATTATAGTCCTATTCAAATAGAAAAATACAATCAAATCAATTAGTTTTTTTTTGTCTACAAAAATAGTGAAATAAATATGATTTTTACAAAAACAAAGACACATACAGAACAAAGTAACAGCGTTCAACATAGGAAATAGAACCTCACAAAAACAACACGAGTCAAGTGTCACAGGTGACGATATTCAAACATGTTCGCATCATGAGAACTAAAGCCATGGGGGAGGGGGGGACGACGGGAGCTCTTTCTTTAATTTTCATCTCCGTCATGTTACGACTCCCCGTCCTCGCAACATCCAGACTACATTAGAATATATTAAAACATACTGGATTTCCTGCTCTACTCATACAGAATATAGATAACTTAAGACCACTGCTTCACGCTACATCTTAAATAAGTAATCATGAAAAAATAAAATTTAATAAATCATCTGTAGAATTATAAATAGGTGGATGTTTCAGAGAATCCACATCTGCACTGAAATCACTTAATGAGGGGGATAACAAATAAAATGAGTGGGGAGATATAGAAAAGTAGTGCATAATATATATATATATAAAAACATATTGAACGGCCAGAGATGGGTAAGTAGTTGACACAAACAAATTAATTTATATGAATCAACTGTAAGTAAATAAACTTAGAGTCTCAGTTTCATTAAGGTTTTGTAACAGTACACACTTGACGATACCGAGGAGCACACACCAGGGCATGGAACACAAAAAAACAACAACGACACGAGAGCGACACACTTGCACAGTACCAAACGGATGGCTTGGCCACCATCCTCACAGAAAGATTGTCCCTAAATGTTTTTAGTTTTTTGAGTAATTCAAGGGTCACTGTGGAAATCAAACAGACAAACAATACAAACAAAGAGAAGAAAGTTTCATCTTTAGCACGCCAAAGGCCAAGGCCGAGAGGATGTGGAGATAGTTTATCTTTCAGTAACCGAGCCAGAGTTCCCCTGGATTCACGCAGCTGCACCCACACAGCCTGACTCTTTCAACTAGTCACTAGGCAAGTTTAGCGAAGAGAACATGTTCAAAAGGATGCTTGAACACGAACTTCCACGCTGATCAAGTCTTTTGTTTGCATTTGGTCTGGGAGGCGGTGCTATATCAGATTAACCTTTGGAACTACACAAAGATGTGGGATAGGAAGGGTGAAGGCAGAGTCAATTTGATGTTTTACGTCTACATAACTAAACTAGAGCCTCAGTCTATACTAAAAACAGTCACACAGCACATGGACGACACAAACACAAACCACTGAACACCACTCTGCTTCTCAACAGGGTTTTTTTTTTTTTGCCATACAAGCCATCGTGTCACAAAATGATGGCGTCCACTAAGTCTACAGTAGAACCAATATCACTTTTTGTATTGTTAAGTATGTAAACGGATCAAACAACATATAGACATCATTGCATGCAAGCTGAATTTTTTTTTTACTTATTCATTCTTATGTGTCTGATATTTTTCCCTCTTAAGCATCTATAATAGATGGTCATGCTAGTCACTATAGACTTTAATGTGTTGTCTTTAATTATGATTTCAGTGGTTTGTTTTTTGTTTTTTTTCCTCAGTGTTTTTCTCTCTCACATCTACCCTGCATGCTATTTGTGTAACTAAACCTATTGTAATAACATGCACTTTCCATGGCTATGGGGGCCATAAGTGGTTGAGTGCATACTGTATTTCATTTTACATGATTCTGGTTTATAAATGGCATTAAATATAATACCCACACATTTATTCATATATATGTATATATATATAGCAGCAAAGCTTCTAAAATAGCTAAGTATAAATGTTGAATACAGTTAGCAGAAACCAGATTAAGTATTTTGAGGTATCACTTTATGGGTCAGTATGAGCGCAGAAATAACCCTATCATAATTTCTTTAATAAACCCTCTAAAAAGAAGAAAGAGCCCATGGGAACCTTAAAAAACAACTGTTTGTTTTGCGGCAGAAAAATGTGTCAATTTCTATCTTTTTGCTACCTTTGGTTAATGATCCGGAGCAGGCGTCAACATTAGAGAATCAAGGTTTTCCCAGAAACACGTGTGCACTACACACACTGTAGGGTGGTTAGCAGCAGACAAACAGACAGACAAGCTGCCCCCATGCAAAAACATTCCCATATCTACTTTAAATCTCACATACAAAAATAATAATAATAAAAAAACCTACAAAAATCAATCTCTTTTTAAATCTCCTCTTAGAAAAGATGAAAGTACCACAAAAGAGTTGTAGAGTTATCAGAGCCTGAGATGTGAGGGGGGTTTTGGTGAAAAACTGAGGCTTGTGGTGTTTGGCTGCTACAAAAGATATATAGATATATATATAGTATATACTGTATAGTTTTACGTACTCGATTATACTGATAGCTTAGGAGAGCAGGAGAGGCAGAGCGATGCTCTTTTTCCTGTTAGCCAGTGTTTAATTTCCCTTCCCTCTGACTGTGTCACCATGGCTGTGGTCGCATCTCTAGTTCCAGCGGAAGTGAATCTGGCGTGGGCGGTCGGCTCCTTCTTTGACCAGGGGCTTGTGAAACTCTCGTCCAGCGCGGGAGTGAATGTTGGCCCAGCAGAATTCGCAGTAGTACTGCAGACAGGTGACATTAGCACAGAAAAAGGGAGCAAATTTCCCTCCACAGCGTGCACCCTGACACTCATCACATAGCTGATCATCCAGGACGTAGGGCTTTACCTCCACCTGCATACACACATTTCAGAGAAGACACAGAAAGTGCATAAATGCATACAGTAAAATTTATAGTGTGTATGTTTATTAAAGGCAGAGTCTTATAGCAGTAGAGATGGGGAAGGAAACTAAGTCAATCAGACCTAATAAGCTTTCGCTCACCATAGCAACAAGCTGCTGCTTGTCTGTGGTGATACTGATGGTGCACACACAGACACACAGACACACACACTTCACAAATTGTGTGAATCCTAATGATGTCCACTACACACAAAACAGGGAATTGTTAATGAAAGCGAGGCTGTACCCGTTTGTCAATGTCTCCATGCTGCAGCTGGACGAATCTTGCGCTGATGGCAGCGATGTAACTTTGCTGATTGGAGAAGGCCACTCGCCCCGCCCCCTTAGGGTACTTGAGCTCAGGATCGGTGTCAATTCCCGCATAGCAGACTCCGCCATAGAGGCGATCCATAATCATGGCCAGCTCAACTAGTCAGAGGGTGAAAAGAAAGGTAGATAAAAATTCAGATGAGTGAAAGGATTAAGAAAAGATGTGGGAAGATGTGAGGAAGAACACAAGAGAGGGGGAGAAGCTGTTAAACTCTTTTTGTAGATGGAATTTGTATCTTGGATTGTATCTCACACCACACTCCTGCCTGAAGTTCTTCCTGAATAGAAAACTAATATGAAATTGCTCGAGGAAAAACAAAGTACTTACTTGCTCTCAGGGGACGAGGGACGCCTCCCACAAAGATGGTCTTGCGGGGATCAAGGGGCTGCGATCCGTCCATCACAAAATCACTGTCGCTCAGGTTCCAAGGTCGAATTTGTACCTAAAAGAAAGTCAAATCCAATTTTAAATCCACTCTCTCTTTATTCAGCAAAATATTAAATGACAGAACTGAACTTTCTGTGTGAGCTGGTGCTGTTTAACACACAGGTTTGTCCTTGATGGTGGGGCTGGAGACACACAAGTAGAGCTTCCCATCCTCCTCCATGCAGGCTTCAATTAGAGCCTGCACCGAGCTTTCCTCCTGGAAAAGCAGGAATGCGTATCCTAGAAAACACACACACACACATATCCACAGGTTCAGTGTGTGCATTAAAAACACATAAAGCCCGTTTAACAAATATGCTAATCAATAAGACATCTTTTGGATACTGACCAACACCAGTATTTAAACGATGACTTATTTTTTGGCATCATAGCTTCAAGCTCAATGTAAAAAAGTTAAGTATCCATTAAAGTATGTTTAATATAGATGCTCGCTGCTTTTGTCAATACCTTTAGGTGGAAAGTAGGATTTGCTCTCTGCTTTGTGTGGCCAGTCCACCACCAAGTGACCAAAGCGGCGGAAGCTTGAGGTTATTTCATCTGAGGGAAAGTGGAAAAACAACAGACAGCTGAAAGACTGCTGATAGAGTAGAGGAAGCAAAGGCAAGCAGTATAATGCAATCCTGAAAAACTGTGTTATAGTTGTCCTCACCTTCATCTATGTCAGGGGGCAAACCTCCCACAAACACCTTACGTGAGAAGCGCTCAATGCGTTCCCCGTTTTGGTGGGGGTAACAGTTGGGGGAGCCAAGGACTCCTGGGACACCATGGTTGCCGTGGCCGTCATCAAGGAGATTGTCATCAATAGGGAAAAGGGAGGAGCGGCCTGGTGGAGGAAAAAGGCAGTTAAGGCAACAGCAAATGTCAAGCATTCACACAAGCAGAAAAACAAATCACAAACATGTAGCCCTAAACCCAGTAAAATCTGCTGCTCCTTTATGGATTTTTTTTAAATCTCTGCTATGACAAGGACAACCCTAGAGGAGAGGCAGTCTATAAAATAATGTTTCTGTTACACTGAGTGGTTGCGACACAAAGCACCAGTCTAAACTGAGGAGCCATGAGCAGTGTGGCAGATAAAGCAGGTGTGGGAAGGCAGGCTGTGTGCAACAAAGCAGTTAATAACATCGCTGAGCAGTATGGAGCCCCAAAGTGTTCAATATTAAACAGATAAATAAGTAATCATAAAATAAATGGTCATGTTAATAAATTCTATCACATAAATAAATTAAATAATAATTTAGAAATTTATATATTTTTAATTATAATATAATTATTATTCTCAAAATAAGGTGTTCATATAATTTCATATTAGAAATGATTTTATATTATATATCTATGTTCAAAATTATCTTTTTCAAAAGTCATTTTTTATCTAATTGGCATTTTTCTGATTTCTAATTTTATATCACATTTGATTTCAGAACTTCACTTTTCATGACGGTTGTGTTACACGTCTGTCAAGCCAGTTTGTTGTAAGTTAGGCTTATTATTCATATTTAAAGTAAAGGAGAAGGGTCCAACTGTTGACCTGACGTATAAGGACCCCACGTATATGAGACAATGGAAAGAGAGTAGGGTCCCCGTATGTCACTTCCTTTTCACTAAAATGGAAGGTAACAGGATCTTCTAAAATCTGCTATAGGCTACACCTAACACACAGTGAAAAAAAAAAGAATATTTAGCTAATTCAAAAAAACATTACTTTAACGGATGCTTTAAAAATACTCGGTCTTAAGCAGAGAACTGTGAACATTTTCTAATCTGGTAAAATATGTAAACTAGCTAACACTGCTAACACTATCTTCTCACTTTGATACTAAATAACAATCTAACCCTACAAGCTGGCTTAGCTAGTTAGCCAGCTACCTTAGGTAGACTACTATAGCATTTCCAGCCATGTTAAGCTAAGGCTTAAAACTTTTTAGAGGTTTAGATACTCTGTCTGTGTAGTGTGTTTATTTACAGCAGCAGTTGATTTAAAATAACAGCATCATTTCTGCTCTAGCTCAAGCTAGCTTATGCAAGGCTGGGGGCATGTGAAAGGTGAGGGGGTGGAAAAGACACATTATGAAATAAAATCAAACTTCTGACAAAGGATATTTTGAAATAATAATATCTATAATTAAATAAAAGGATATCCAATAAAAATTTAATAAATATTCAATAATTATTTCATAATGTCTTTTCATTTATTTAATATTGAAGACTCCCATAGAGCAGTGGCACAACTGCCATAGTGCTTCAGATAAACATGACCAAACATGAACCCTTGACATCATGCATTTCTGAATACTAAAACAAATACTTTTTGTTATATTTTTTGATAGCCAACAATAATATATTGGGCAAAAACATGAATGTACAACAAAACTATAAAAAACAATCAATGTGCTACTAAACTAGACAATTTGAAGTCTGACTCCAGGATTAAGGTCTTAGTTTGTAGTCCATTCAAGCAATAAAGCATGCCACAAGAGAATAAGCCACAAGGAAAAAGACATGTTGTAGAAAACTGAATTTACCTCGACGTCTCCCATAGCTCCTGGCTGCATGTAGAAGAGTACAGAGGGCAAGTTTCAGCTGTGCGGACATTCCCAAAAAGTACATGTAACCTCTATGGACTTAAATCTGCAGCTATCTCATGATCTCTCTTTATCCAACCATATATCAATTTAATCAAATAAGCTGCCAATCACAAAAAGTCCACTAAATGGTTTACATCCTCCTGAGAACTAGAACAAGATATCGAGACAAAGAGTAAGCATCTGAAGTTGCACGTTTATGTTTAATTTACTACAATGCTGGTAAAACACATCAAATAAATATATAGAAATGCCCGCTGCCTCTACAGATGATGCATTCAAAGGCATTTCTCGGGTGATCAAAATAATTTCACTGCTCTCAAAACTCAACTTAAAACATAACTCACTCAACTGCAACTTAACTTTCTTTTCCCCATAAAGAGCGCCAGATGTAATAGAAACCCTTTGGAAACTTCACATATATGTTACATCACTGAAAAGCCCTGGATGTCCTCTGTCAGGAACAACAAGGCTCATCACAGCAACATGAGCCAAAACTGCCGCCGCCAACACAGCACAGAAATGAATTGCTGATTGCTGTGTCTCAGGAGGAAACAGCAAGCCCCAAAAACAATAAAAAGCATGCACGCAATTATTTGCAAATGCTGTCTGACCCAGATTTGGGTCCTATTGAGACTGTTATAAAACAAGATTTTTACTTTTGACACCAGCATGATGGGTGTCCACATGTGAGGTAGAAAAAGAGTCTGTAGGGCTACAATTATTTTAAGTGGCACTGAAAATTTGCATTTTTAAAGTCATGTTTGTGGTGCCTTCATAGTATTCAGATGACTTAGTATAACAATGGAAACACTCCTTATCATGTGGGTGCCATCAAAAAACATCAGTATGGTAGAGCTTGTGCTTGAATTAAGAAAACCTATTTAAATGAGCAAATAGTCACCAGTGGCAATTGGAAGTTTTGAAAATGCTACACTGATGATAACATTATAAAACATAAAATATAATGATCTTTATAGAGCCCAGAGTGGCACAACATAGACATTTTGATGACAAATTGCACTTTATTCAAATATACTGTATAGATTTGTTTAAAAAAAAGAAAAAAAAAGAAAGAAAACTATCTAACAAATACTGGTAGATATTCTTTCCCCTACAACAGCCCTACCACATGCCTATTGTGCCAGTGTGACCCTGGTGAGTGGGTCTAATGAGGCTAAAGAGTAACAGTGTAAATGTCTGGAAACACAGTTCCCATGATGCTTTCATTGTTACTGTGAGAACTGTGTCTCTATGCACATTCATGTAAAATTCACACATTAAAACAACTGGATGGAAATGCTGAACATTTGAAACTGAGGGAGATGGTGCTAAGAGATAATTACCATTGAGCATGAGTAGGCTGTCAGCCCCGGGGTTAGGGCATCCCACACGGCCTGACATGAGAAACACACACACACACACACACACACACACACACACACACACACACAAATAGGGATGAGACACAGAGCAGATGGAGAGGACAGGGTGAGGCCACGGTGTGTACATGGGAGCAAGAACACACACACACATATAACTACAGCGCCTGCCTGTAATGTGTTACAACAGGCTTCTCACATGTCAGTACAGACAGAGTGAGCAAAAGAAACAAAGCTCTCCTTATCCCCAAATATAGCCTGAGTCGACATTACGAGAAAACAGAGGGAACTTAGCAGAATGAAACACTTTGTTTTTAGTAGCAGTAATACTGTAAGAAACGGATTATTTCCTTCTCAGCTCTAAAAAGTGGAAAGGTTGTGACTTCACCATCTGTAATGTGCTGTGATCTTAAACTGTGATCTGACTGAAGCAGGAGCTGCATGACTGAAAGAATCATGTTTATGACATTAGGTTTTTTCAGGTTCAATGAAATATCACATCAACCTGCGATTATCTATTTACATTTTTATTTCAAGTAGGGCTGAAACAATTTGATTAATCAATTAGTTGAACTGAAAAATAATCTGCAATATCTTAGATAATTGAAAACAAAGCAAGCAATTTAAAAATGTCAAATTTGACTCTGGGGAATTATGATGGACATTTTTCTTTTTAGACCATAAGATGAAGCAAGATAAGAATTAGCATATTAATAAACAATGGAAATAATCATTAGTTGCATCCCTGTTTTCAGTCATATAGATAGTAAATTCAGAGTCAACTTTAGTCTCTTTTAACACATCTGTATGTATTGCCAACAGACAAGCACACTTTTTTTGTTTATATACAAATGTTAAGGCCCCTTTGTTTAAATTTTTAAAATGTGATTAAGGCATCATTTACATTATAGATAAAATGTTATTTGTGGAAAAAATAAAAAATTCAAGGGAAATAGACAGTGTATAGATTGTGTGTTGCTATTGAGCTATTAATTCTCACTATCAGGGCATGGTATTGCTGTCTGCCGGTGTCTTATTAAATGATTCCACAGTGTGGCCACAAAAGTCAGAAATGTTCAAATTCTACATCGTAGGTTTAAATGTTAAATAGCACTTGTAAGTAATTTATAGATGATACAAGTGTATATTATTACAGCTGGATTTTCAAAAAGTTGCAAGCTTCATTGGCTGTTTTATTTCTATTTAAAGCCAAAGACAAAAACTTTATTTGAATCATCAGCACTATAACACTACTCCTTTAAGTTTATGAGGTCCTGTATTTTGGGCCTGCTAGTCAGAATACTGTACAATGTTTTGTTAGCCTTGGCAATGCTATAAATGGCAGAGCCCACCCTTGCAAGCCCTCCTTCCCTCTCGTCTCCTCTCTTGGCTGTCATACACAGCGTGTGAAAGTGTGATCACATCTAAAATTAGTCCAGATCCCCCTCTCTTTGCTGTGCACACTGGCCCATGTCCTCTCCATCTGCTATGGCATGAAAAACAAGAAACTCGCCCAAGAAAGCAGGGCACAGGTTGAGTCCTGATTCAAGCCTAAGTCTTAATGGAGACTGCAGACAACCATTTCACATCTGCCAACAAATAACAACTGCATGGTTTGGTTTTACCAGTGTTGTTGTTTCTGTGTCACACTTTAAGTGTAGCCGGCCTGTGAGGCTGTAAATGAGATACAAGCAGCCGTCCCTGGGAGAGGAGGGTTAGGACGGTGCAGTTATTTGACACTGCTCCTCTGATGTCCAGCAGCTGAGCCCAGGAGGCCAGGACAGTGTCACACTACAGTACATTCTCTGCTTGCTTCTGCCAAACCATGAGGAATAATTCAAAAGAAATCCAGGACTATTTATACATCTGCTAGTTAAAAAAAAAAAGCCAAGTCCTGTGTGATTTGCGCATGGCTGCTGTGTCAGGCAATATCTGTTAGCAATTAGAGATATTCATAGCAAAGAACAGTTTCTCTCCCCTCCACTCTCTCCTGCTGTCCAGGTTAAGTAGCAACAGGATCAGAGCTGGAAGGTCATGTAAATGTGCAGCTGGTGGCAGAAGTATTAAGCTCTCAGCGGGGAGAAAATAAGCTGGTGTGTGGAAAAACAACACAGCTCTGGGAGCAAAGCGCCTGTCACTTCCCTGCACCGAGTAACCCTGCGCGATGTCAGGCCGCCTCACCGAACACGATCGCCTCCCTTTGACCCCCCAAACATAGATAGAAAGGGAAAGGCAATCTTACCTTTCATCGGATCCTGCTCAGCTCGCATGATGTCAATCAGAGAGCTCTCCAGGGAGTGCATGTTCAGACTGTCATACATTCTGGAGCGGTCCTGAGAAACACAGGTGTGAGGTTTTATATCAACCAATCTGAGATGACAAAACAAACACACGTCAAGATTGCGTGTCTAATTCCTCACGTTTCTAACACACTTCTGTGATTTAGCTTATAAACAATAAAGCCTCTGAAGATTGGGTACTTGGCTTAACATGTAAGAGATTTAAGAGAGTGAGTAGCTCACACTTGGATTAACATTCTTTCCGTATTTATTCACTTCAGGGGTCTGAAGGTATATTTGTGAGTGGTCTATAGGACGGATTCCCCAGGATCTCTGGCCTCGTTCCCAATGACAGACGGAGAGAGAATAGAAACCAAAACCAGGAGTAGCATTTGGCCAGAGAGCTGAGATGGAGGTTGAAATAGCAGAAACTATGAGTGACTCATATGGTAATATTCTGGTTTTATCATACCTACCATACCACCTTACCCAACATAGAGGAAAGGTCAATTCTTTATACTTTAATAGCGACAGACTGCAGTTTGCTTAATATGCTTTTGCCTTGCTTTCCCATTTATTTGTTTTGTGCAATACAGACAGTAATCCATAAAATGGAGAATGAAGAGTTGTATTAAATGGCAATGCATTGCATTACAGCTAAAATGTATTTTAATGGACAGTTTCCTAGGCAAGGAATATAATCCAGTTACTACAGTAACTTTACATCTACTTCATCACTGCATTACCTGTTTAAAAGATGTTGATAAAGGGGTCATTAGTTAAACCAAAACAGGTTGCCAGACACGGAAATTGGCTTCACATGCACTGCTAATCAGGAATAAAGAATTGTCATCTTTAAAGGGTGAATTCAACTAAAATACAAAAAGATTTATTTTCTCATTTGCCACTAACCAAGCAGTTCCACAGACCTCTCTGTTAACTCTCTTAACAGAGAGGTCTGTGTGTGGAATAATGGGGACATTGTTTCTTTTTCTTTTTTTTTTTTTTTAAATATCAACATCATGATAGGTTAACAGCAGAAAACTCATATTAGACATCTCACAAATAAATCCAAAACTATCTGTATAGCTTGATACCACTGAAGACAGATATATTTGTGGGAATTTGGCTGAACTGACCCCTTAAAAGAATAGCGCTGATTTGTCCACTGATACATTTGGTCAGTTTCGAGTTTTGAGTCATTTTCACATCAGGCCATGGTTTCCAAAAGGACTCAAATTAGTACGCCACCAATTTAGCATTGCACTCCTACAACAATGTCAGACTCACGATGGACAGTTTGAAAAAAAAAGAAAAAGACAATCTTTGCAGGAGAGATATTGTCTTTTTTATTCCATACATTCCTCTTCCTTGTCAAAACCTGCCACCTATATTACCAACACAATGAACCGTGACTAGATTAACTGTTTTATTGACTGCACAGATTTGTGTGTTGTGCTATTAGCGGCTAACGTAGCATCAAGCTGCTAGCCTCAAGCAGGGATGAGGAGTGGTCTACAGAGGTCCGGTGAGCGATCACTTGAGGCAATTTAACTTCAACTTTGCGCTGCTAAAAAAACCCCACAAGGCTTTAAACATCATCTGCATCATCGCAGTAGCACTCCCCAACACCTTCTAACAGACCTTGATGTGTAAAATTGGTGGAGTTAAGCATCCACGTTAAGTGTCCACAAAAAGGCTTTACTTTGTCTGCCTTCATGGATCGGGAGGAAATTGGAACACACAAAACGTATGGCTGTGGGAGTCACTGTGTTAGGTGCAAATTGTCTTTTACTTTAAGAATGTATAGTGTTAGCTGTATTGCTGTACAGTTTTAAGAAATGTCAAGATAGACATAATAGTCAGTGACTCTCTCCTGTCTTCCTCAGCCTACCTCTGTGTGATGTCTAACACATGAAACAGCAGATATGTGTCACTGACTGCCAAACATTAAACAGAAAGGAAGGAAGGAAAAGACTTGGAATCTGAAAAATTCTGGGTCCGAGACTGTTTATGGAAATTAACAATCCATGGAGTCAGGCCTGTTTCCTGGAATAGGAAGCGCTGTACTTCTTGGCAGTGATATCACTAATAATTTGAGCTCATAGCAACAGTAATACAATTTGGCGACACCATTATTTAGGTGATATCATTATTTTAGTCTGAATGAGTCACAGTAATGAATATATTTTCTGTTGGAGGTCATTAAAACATGCCATTATTCTTAGCATGAATGTATGTATTTAATTTAAGACACTATGGCAGTAACTTATTCACCAAGTGTGTTTTTATTAAGAAAAAACACTGAATTATAAACTGTACTCTGTTGTACAGTCAGTTTTCTCAGTAACACACCGTGCACAGTGCAGCAAGAGACAATCAGTGCAGTTTTTCTTACGTGACAACAGCGAAAGCCTTTATGCAGCCTCACCAGCCTGTGACTGACTGAACGTTTTTACATGTGAATTAAAACCCAATTTTAATCTAACTACCAACACTGTACACAGTAGTATAGAAACTATAAACTATAGATAAATTAAACATAAACAGTGAAAGACAATCCAGTTAGATGACTATAAGCGATATTTTTTCATACCTAATTACTACTTGTGTCTATTTGACACTAGTATATAATAATTTATGTATAGTTGAAGTGTATATCTTGCATAATATTGTGTAAAATTTTAAATCTTTGAATATGAAATGCATTAGGTTCAGCACAAATCTGTTTGTAACTCAAGCATCGTTTCGCTAGTGTGTGTTTTTTTAGCTAACTTCTGGTTTACTGCATTCAAAATATCGCTTAAATATACAAATACCAAGTCCAAAAAACACACAAAGAGACACAAACTGGACGTCAGCCACGGCTACAAATCAGATGTAAGTGAAATCACTAAAGAAAAAGCAGAGCGTCAGTATTGCTTTTGTCCCAGAAAATTCATGAATCTACTTTAGAAAAAGGCGATTTTGCTGATGGCCGTGTAGTAGAAAACAAAGGAAAATATGATCAAAACGTGACCTTGACTTGGCAGAGAAAAGTAAGAGGCACTAACAATTTTCAAAGAAAACACACAACTTGGTACATGTATCATGGAATACTTCTCATTTCTGGTTCCCTTAGATGTGCACAGAAAGAGCTTTAACGGTATTTGCACCTGAAATAGATCTCACCTACAAGATGTTAGTTTCCTGTAATGAATTCCACCCAGCCCCCGCTTTGTTACACCTTTAGTAAAATCTGCAGAGCAAATCAGTTCAAACTCCTCCCATCTGATTCAAATGCTAACCATGCTGGCCCTTTTATGGTAATTTACATCTGCAGCACACTGTTGTGTATGTCTAAAGAATCATTTGCTTTCAGCCTCTCTATTGATAAAAATAAAGAAAAAGACTGACAATTTCTATTTAATCAAGGGATCTCAACTCAAACACTCTCTCTCTCAAACACACACACACAGCTCTTCATCGCTCCCTTTGTCTAATCTCTTATTCAAATGATTGTGTATGCCTCTGTTACTAGTCCCACATTTAAAGCTGCTGATTCTCACACAATAACACAAAAACAAAAACCACCCACACACACACAAACATATACCAGACTGATTATCCTACAACAGCAGTAACAACCCAAAACATTTACCTGCAGGGGCAACAAAGTGTTGCTGTTGCTGTCTGTGCGAAACATGTTCTCCTCTATCCAGGACTTAGGCCCCAGTGATCCTCCAGAGCGTGGGAACTTGGGAGGAGCGATGACATTGCTCGAGAAGGGCTTCTTCATGGGCGAGGCCTGGCTTACCGAGCCAGGTAAGCCCATGCCACTCCCTCTGCGGTGGTCCCGTCCCCAGGACATCCCCCCGGAGCCCCAGCCATTCCCCTGGTGACCGCTCCACGGAGATGGCTTCACCATGGGCTGCAAACGCATCAAGGGGGCCAGAGAATGTGGAAAGTAAATTTTTGCATCTAAATATTATTTCCATTTCATCCTCTCTTGTCTTTCTATCCTTGCTTTTCTCCCTGTCAGCCACAGCCTAGCTTTATCTGCTCCTGTAACGGGTGGGCAGATAAGAAGATTTAAGGCTTTAAGACTAATACTAAGTATCCCGTGCGCTGCTACACCACCAGTGTAAGTTACACACACACTCTCTCTCTACCTGGACCGTGTGTCCACTCTTAATCACATCGTACATACAATCGCACCATGCTAATCTTGCGTGCTTTCCCGTGAAAATCTTACACAGAGGACAATCCCCTTTTCTCTTTGTATAATCTGCACACAGCTATGGAATGTCAGATAGTGGTGTGCCTGAAGAATTGTTTTTATTATCTAAAAAAAACACCACCAGGAAAATGAAAGTGCTGTTAAAGAAAATGGGAACTCCTGGAGAGGTTTCTTTAGAAACATGATGGACAGGAATTATGTATCTGTCTCTTGTATAAAAGAGCCATTGAGAAGAAAAAATTATTTTAACTAAACAAAAAAACAATAAATAAAAAAAGTAGTATTTCATTAAATGCGTCTCCTTTTAATGTGTAAATCCTTTGGATGTGTGTATGACAGCAGGGCCAACAGGGTTGTTTGTCTTTGGGGGTTTAATGGAAATACAGTGTATTTATATGGGACTCATAATCAAAGCAAGGGGTTAAAGGTCAGCCAAACAGCAGCACCACAGACGCGCGTTAAGCACACCCAGTCACGCACTTGCTCACACCCAGTGTGCAGATCACATGAGAAACCTGAAGCCAAAGGCTGCTAACCATAGGCCCCAACACTACGGCAGCTGAACCTTCATGTAAGCCTCTATTATTGTGACTGCTGGTCTTTCCTGGGTTCCTCTATCTGTCTGCCAACACACACACACACACACACATACAAAACCAAGGAAGCTGTCTGCATTTCACCCATATCCATTTAGGACACCGAACTCTGCAAGCCTTTATACTTCCACTGACTGAACCACAAGACAGGGATGGTCCAGTGCCATGTGACTGCATCTCACTGCCAGCTTCCAGGAGAGAACAACAGCTGGATTCAGTGATGCTCCCTTGTTCCCGTGTTCACCCCTCCCTTCCGTTGCCTCATGAGCAGTGACTTCAGCCTTTGCCGAGGACATGACAAATGCATTATGTAGTACAAAAAAAACTATTTGTCCTTCAAAGACTGTGGCTGCATAATACACACAGACAGAACTATTAAGACTGTGCTTTATCTCTGCAGCATCACAAGATGCCCCTAACCTGAGGACATCCTAGTAGTGGTCTTAACTTAAAATGATGGGAACCTAACATCGTGATTTAAATAGGCTTTAAAGATTGGAGCTTTGGGGGTTCTGGGGACTATGTTTGGTCATTAAAGGTGGAAATACAAACTAACAGAGAGATAAATAAGATAGAGCTCACGGGTCACCTTCGTGTGATTAATGCGCTTTGCAGCTCACCTGATGTTGGTTGTAGTTGTTCCTCTGCTGCAGGAAGGCGCCCTGCTGGGGATGCATCTGGGGACTGACCGGGGACCTGCGACTCTGCGCCTGCTGGGGGACGTTCATTTGGGGCGAGAAAGGACCGCTGAAGCCCTGCACATTAATCCCGGCGCACGGATTAGCTGACACCGGCGAAAAACTCGGGAAGAAGGCCGGGTTGATGGAGGAGGGGATACCTGGGTAGAAGCTGTTGTCAGAGTCCGTGTTGGGCATCTGGTTAATGGCGTTCGCGTGGATGGGGTTGATGGAGTTGGGTGCGGGAGGGGGCGAGGAGCTAGTCTGGACGGACCACGGGGTGCCGAACCCGGTGAGGGAAGGTGAAGACGAGCCTACGCTGGCGCTCTGCATCTCCTGGGTGGGGAGGTTCGGGAAAGCGGCGCCGAGACCTCCGGACAACATGTTGCCGGTGCTGCTGCTGCCATTGCCATTTATATGGTGGGCGATGGGGGAGTCCATCTGGATCTTGTTTGAATTTACGGAAGTGGGCGATGGCGACGCAGCATCGGCTTCAGCCTCTTCCACTGGAGAGCCGCAGGAGGCAGCAGCGCAGTGCTCGGGCTCAGACAAGGGCTGCCTCTGCGGCAGGTGACTGAAATGTCTCTGGGGTGGGGGCGACTCTGTGGGGCTAAAGTCAGTGTGCTGACTTAACTGCTGATGTATTTTTCGGCTGTGCTGAAGGTCACAGATAGACTGCGTCGGGAAAAAATTATCTCGATCGAAATCTGGAAAAGCTATGTTCTGGTTTAAATGGTTATAATCCGGCGTGAATGCGCTCTGCTTGCCTTCGTTGTTGTCGGGTTGGTTCGGTTGCTTCCCGGATTGGCTGACCGTTCGGCTGTTGCTGTCCTTTTCCTCAGCTGACAGGGGTAACTGCGTGGTTGTCACCCCGACAAGCTCATCCTGCATGTTCTGCTGATGCGCAGCAGCTGACAGGAACAGCGGGGACGCTCCTGAAGGGCGAACCGGGGCGCAACCGGCCGCAGGAATCCGGTAGGACGAGGCGTTGTAGGCTATCCGTCAGCCGGCTGGAAGATAGCTACCGAAATTGGCTTTAAATGAAGCAAATATATGCGTTTGAAAATATAGTTTCAACCTAATTTCTAAATGAGGTCTATTTTATAGGAAACTCTCTGTGAATAGGCTAGGCTAGAGGCAGACACGGAGAGGAGGGGGTCTGGCCTGTGCAAATAGTCGGCTCGTTCTAGTCGTAATCTCTGTTTTACTCGGTGATATTATCATCTATCTAAAGACCGAGCTATTTCGGCCTTTGAGTAGCCTAACCGAGCCTGCGTGGACCATTCCTGTCCTACCGTGCTACCCCCTCCCCTGGTTACCGGCTGTGCTGCTGCGGCAGAGGATTAAAGATCCGCGACAGAATCTACGTCACGGCCGCATCACGCCTCGGTGCGCCAGCCTCTTTCCTCGAGCCCGAGCTGCAAAGAGGACCGCATTGTTTACGTCATTTTTTCATTATTCATTAAGTGCAGTAGGCCTACACCCTCAGCAAACCCCGGGACGTAGGGTGAGTTACACAGTGAGCCTGATCACAGCGACAAATATCATTACTCCTCCTGTAGAGACTGCATCTCAGCAATGAGTCTGTAATGATCCTTTACTTACCATATAATACCATGCGCACAGTACAGGGCTGCATCTAGGCTGACATTATTAGAATGTTATATTTTGAATTAACTGACGCGACAATGCTTGTAGAAAGATTTCTTTGATTTTACTTCCCAATCAACCTCTAACAGAATCTATATTAATCACCTTACTCAAAGCCAGCCAAAGTCCTACTAGATCAGAATGAATGACGTCTCGGGAAGTCGCCATGACACATTGTGAGGAGAATCTGTCTCTTCAAAAATGTTTTCATTAAAACTTAAACATTAGGCCTACCAGACTACGCACTGTGGCACAGTTTTCCTCGGCTTGTGCCCATCAGTGCTCAGTCCACAAGCATTGCGCGTGCGTCTGCGCCGGCGTCACTTTACGCATGGACGCCAACAGCTAAATATAGTTTTCCATGTCAGCGCGTGTCAAGGGAGATGGATCTTCATAGTTTATAGTCTGCTCTGAACTCAGAGCTGACATGCAGCTCTACCATATGATCTGCCTCATAAATGGCCCCCACCAGCAGCACTACATGGCTACTGGCAAATCACATTTTAGCGTGGATGGGAAAGAATGATTGTGTTTGTGTGTCAGAGTCCAGAGTATGTCACCCTCTGACTGCTCATTTGTGTTTGAGGACTGATGAGAGAAACAACAGAGGGTTTTTCGGCTGATTCTCCCCTCAGCAGATGAATAGTAGATGTCTTGTGTTCACTTTAAAATACAAAACAAGTATCAGCTGGGAATTGGGGTGATGCAAATGAGCAACACTTCGGTTTCACTTTCCTGTTTGTACAAAAAGGACTTGATTAAAGCTGCAGCTATAGATGTTATTATGCTATTCCAGTGCCTTAAGTGTGAACCCTTATTTGTTGTATAACATCCACAGATCATCTCTCTTTCTCAAGATTGACGCTGAATAAATCATTGCAGTCTCTGTGTGTGAATGTGGTTTCTAATGAGGAAAACAGATACCACAGGAGCAAAGCAATGTGCATGATCAACCTACCATCTGGTCGTTACTAATGAAGAGGGCTTATCTCAGCACAAACTACACACAGCTTTCCGCTCTGCATTGTCACCTATACAATGCTTCTTTATTTTTAAAAACAAAAGCATCAGATTACAAAAACAATGGCAGCTTCATTATAACCTCATCTAAAACTCAGGTACTACTTTTAGACATAATGTTATAAAGTTTAGTTGCTATTAGTGCTGGGAGTCTAGTGTGTACACAGGAGGGTTTTGGATAACATGCATTACTATAGTTGCATTAAGTGGTGCTAAGAAGCATTTCCTGCATGTGCAAATGTTTTGGCAAGCTTTTGCTCAACATGAACCTGATCAGTGATTTTGGACTCCAATCACTGTTGCTGTGATGTCCTTCTCTCTTTTCACTGCACCTTCAGCTGTTTTGGGAAGTAAGACGACACCCCCTAGAAATTCCCCATCATAAGGTCCCAGATGAGACCGTCCCACCAGTTAGGGGGCAGGTGTGGTGGCCATGGATGGTGCTGAGTACTAGTGATTAGCCAGGCCCAGTAAGTGCTGGAGGGAGTTAAATGGGGCAGGCTGCCAGCTGCTGGTGTCTGATGAAGATGGTCTGGGGGAGGGAGTCATCCAGGGTGGGGTGGAGGCGGGGGTGGAGTTAAGAGGAGAGACAGAGAGAGAGAGGGGTGGGGGGTCCATTCTCTGACTCCCAGCTGCCCTGCCACATACAGAATGTGAAACATCCATCCAAAACCTGAGCACAGTTCTGCACATTTGCATTCACCTTTAGATTTAGCTGTATTCTCTGTGCATGCACGCTGGTGCGTATAGTGTACATGGGGAACAAATGTAAACATAAGAACACAAATATCAGCATGTGCATGAATATATTATCTGATCATGCACGTGGGTGTGTCATAGGATAAGTGTGAGAAATTAAGCACCCTTTATTTTAACAAGGTTACTGGTTATGTGGCTACTGTTGGTTATTAGGAAGCACCTGGCCCACTAAGCAATATCACATTTCACTGTGCTTGTATAGCTAGCTCTATTTAGGTCTCTGTCAGACTGAATGGCTGTCACACTGCAGCTGCAGTCGTCATAGCAACAGGTAATCTGCATTTCCTTTTGTGTGGTTGATAACCATGTTTGACTCTCTCTTAGTCTGTATGTTCGAAGGTTTGGGCAGAAAGCATTGATCAGCTCGTTTTGTTTGACAGACCTATCCATCAACCGTGATGACTCTATTCTGGGAGTCATGGGGTGTGTCCCGTCTCTTATAATACAATCTCAGCGTACAGGAAGTACGCCTCCTGTGTGCCACTCAACACTGGTTTTGCATTTCAAAGATGTCATCAGGCAGAGGTGCCACTGACCTACTTTCTCAGTAGAAACCACCAGATTCAAACAATGGCAGTAAAATCAGTTTTGTACAGTCTATATCAGGGGTTTTCAAAGTGTGAGTTGGGCCTCTCTAGGGGAGGCTCAGTGAATGGAAGTAAAACAATATTACATTAGTTATTAAAAGGAGATCACACAGAATAGCCTACATGTGTCAGAGTTCAGAGATACGGTAGTTTTTGGGAACTATTTTCTCCTGATCAGAGTCAGAAATGCCTTAGGACAGGCCTTTTTTAAAGCTATTTGGTGTAGTCAGAAGTTATGTCAAACTGCACTATTAGGCTATTTTGGCTCAAATGTTGATTGTTTATGAGATCAAATAATATAATCAGGATCACATAGGCATCCAGGAATTGAGTGAAACTTACCAAGTAAACTAAAGATGTGGTGGGAGGAGCGCAGTTTCCCAAGCTTTGTTTGAGGGGAGGCCCACAGTCTCAGACTTTGAAAACCCCTGCTCTATATCATTATACTATTGCTCATTTGTATGATATCAAACTACAAAAAAAACACGTGTTCTCATTCACCTGTAGTGGTTTCCACCTATGCAAACTGTTTTGGTTTAATTTGTCCAGGTTTTGAGATATCTCTCCCTGAGATTTCTGCCTCTATGATGTTGAATGGAATTTAGTTGGTGTTGCTCACAGCATTATAAAATGTCATTTTAGAATTAAACAGCAACATCTCTTCGCAGAATAAGCCCCTCCCGTTACTCTGGATAATTGAGAAGTCTGGCTAGTGCTGCTTTGAACGACTTCCTGCAGAAGAAATAGTCCCTAAGACTACTGTTCAAAGCAAGGTTGAATTATCCAGGGTAATGAGTACACTGATTCTGGAAAGTAATGTTGCTGAATTGTGCAATTAGTAAATTGATGACAAGTACAACCAAATCTATCTGCGTTTCAACATATCACTCAAGATAAATGGAAAAATATGCTTTTTTTGTAATTTGGGTGAACTGGCATTTTTACTTGTCATTGTTTTTCCATTCAGGCTTATACTGCCTGAGGTTGTAATTTTGCATGGCAGTCTGTAGTTTTAATGCCAGCTCATGGGACGGTTTTTGTTCAGATCTGCAACCAGCACGGCCCTCTTGAATGAGCAGTAGGTCGGTATCAGAGTGGCACATATTAGCATTTTATAGCCCACTGCAGAAGGCTTGCAGGACTGATTAGGTGGTTGGTTTCTCCGAGGCTGAAAGCCTGAGACCAGGCAGGCACATCTGTCACGCTTTGCACATATTAGATGTGTGGAAGGGTGTGATTCTCCTCGTCAGGCTGTATGTGACCTTACAGCAGTATAGTTAATTCAAAAGATAAATCCTCTGCTCAATTTACGATAGCTTTAATCATCTTTGATCAATTTTATCCCTTGTTCTTCGTCTCTCCTGACTAGTGCTCTTATCAGTAATCCTATTCCCAATATTCCCATGAGTGCGCTCTAGTAATTGTGTCCACATCACATCTGTCTACTCTCTCGACTTCTGCTTGTGTGTGTGTGGGTGTGTGTGTGTGAGAGAGAGAGAGAGAGAGAGAGAGAGAGAGAGATGGCATTATCTTAATGTCAGAGTAAATTTCCTTTGGTTGTTGCACAGAAGCCAGAGCAAACAGCAAAACATTCACATCAACAGATAACAGTCTCCAGCCTTCTGCTTTCCATAGGCCGTTTATTTGCCTACCCTCACATACGCAGGCTGTACAACAACAGGGGACTCAGACATATGGGGACGCCTGTAATGCTGTTTAAAGGAGAAAGAAAGAGGAAACCTGCTAAGCCACACACACAAGCACACAGGCAGCATGTTCCCTGATTCAGTCCATGAAAGCACCTGTCTGTAAGTATATTGCATTATTGAAGGTAATGTAATTAGGTGTGTGTGTGTCTCTCTCTGTCTGTGTACATGTGTGACTGTTTGTGCATGTGCATCTGCATGTGTGTCCCATACAATGTCAGAGGGCATCTCAAGTGTCCCCAGCACAGCGCTGCAGCTGGGATCAGAGGTCAACGATGACAGGTGTCCCTGTCCAGATGCCTTTTGGGAAGCCAGCAGGTGTAGGAAGAGCACGGATGTTAATGAAAACAGATTGATTATTTCTTACTGATCTTTATTCTTCCTTCACTGAAAGGGATCGTTAGCTAAAAGATAAATAAATAAAAAAGATTACATTTTTATTACCATGAATATTTGTTTCTTAAATCTCGGTATCAGTAATTCTCTGGCTCTTTTTATACCTCAGATGCTCTTAAAATGCAAATTCGTAACATTCATTGCCGAAAAATAATAATAATGCACTGAATAAAATTTAGTTGTACAGAAGTTCCAAACATCCCAAATGAACCCAAAGCTAATATTTGAAACTGTTGAACTGTTGCCTGTTCAAGGAACACAGATTTCATGCATTAGATAGATTGCATTAATTAGAAACTAACTAAAACACTCGTCAGTATTGTATGCCCTGATAATGTGCCCTTGATGATTAAACCTCAAATTATTATTATCATATCAAGCTCACAGCTTTACTATTTTTTGACTTACATCAAAGCCCATATGACCGAATATGAGAAAATAAGTTATTTTAAAAGTGCCTGTACTTTTCCATGTCAGCGCGTGTCAAGGGAGTCAAGGTGTCAAGGTGTCTGCTCTGAACTCAGAGCTGACATGCAGCTCTACCATATGATCTGCCTCATAAATGGCCCCCAACAGCAGCACTACATGGCTACTGGCAAATCACATTTTAGCGTGGATGGGAAAGAGTGAGTGTGTTTGTGTGTCAGAGTCCAGAGTACGTCACCCTCTGACTGCTCATTTGTGTTTGAGGACTGATGAGAGAAACAATAGAGGGTTTTCGCCTCATTCTCCCCTCAGCAGATGAATAGTAGATGTCTTGTGTTCACTTCAAAATACAAAACAAGTAT